GGGGGGGGGGGGGGGGGAAGAAGGAACATCCGAGTGAAACCAGAGGCACACACGCAATGTGGTGAGATCAGCACTCCCACACAAGAGCTCCACCACACTCTGCTCCCTTCCTCATTTTGTGCCCTGTTTCGGCTTGGCTTGCGCTCCAGTGCCGACGCGAAAGACCTCACGAACACGCTTCTTTTTCACAGCAAGCGGGTTAGGCCCGCGTGCACCTTTTCGGTGGGGAGGGCCCTTCTTTGCTCCTACACCTTGCGGGCTTCTTGCAGGTGTGCCATTAACATTGGCGTCCATCGCCGCGCTGTTCTTCCTGCTATTGTCGTATGTGGCTGCGACAGTGGCTGGCAGCGTCTCCACGCGACGTCGTTTGCCTGGGCGGTCATCAGGCACAAGATCTGCCGAAAGGTGCCGCATGAAGGCCACATCTGCCGCGGAAAGCCCGTTCATACTTCCGCTTCCACCTTCTCCTCCTGATGTTGATGTTGTTGTCGTCGTTCTTCTAGCACCGGCGTGGCCCTGTACAGCCCTAGAGCCGCCACTACTTGCGTCATCGTATTGAAACGCGTCGCCGTTCTTTTCAATCCACANCGTGGCCCTGTACAGCCCTAGAGCCGCCACTACTTGCGTCATCGTATTGAAACGCGTCGCCGTTCTTTTCAATCCACAGCGCCGTGGGTGATGTAGTGAGGCGGAGGAGAGCGGCATTCCCTGGCAGCAGCCGGCGCGTATCGTGCGACTGCGTCGCGACAAAGAAAAAGTGGGCATTCTTCCGTTCGTGGCCCCTGTATGGTCTGTCCTCACCCCCTTCCCTTGTCGTTGCAGCCCCTGTGACAAACTGCGCAATCGCCTTGGCCTCGTTGCGGTTCGCGACAGCACTGTCACGGCCGACGCACTCCAACCCCGCCAACAACGCCTCCGCCACCTCACTCACTGCCCGGCCCTTTCCTTTTGGCGCCGCGGATCCCGACAGCTTCCCTGCAGGCAATTTTTTTTCCCTTTGCTGCTGCTGCTGCTGTTGATGTTGGGAGTGGGGCTGTTGATGCACCATACGGCGAAGCGCTGTGGCTGTTTCTGGCAGGTAGCACAACGAAAGGCTCAGCACCTCTTTTGTTTTCCTTTCCTGTGGGCCGCCGCCGCCAGTCTCCTGCGTCACATGCGATGTCGCAGCAGCAAAGGTGTCGTACATGAGCGACTTAAGTGCCTGCGCCGGCGCAGAGCCATTACTGCCGCCGTTGTTGTTGGCAAGCGCCACTGCACGCAAAAACGAGGCGTCGCAGAGAATGTTGTACGCGTCCAGGCGCAGACTGTGCTCGGCGCTCAGCAACCGCAGTCGACGCTTGTTGGTGTGCGCACGCAACACTCTTCGCTTCATACTGCGGTGGCCAATCTACCTTCTTGGACTTATCTATGTGGGCGTGTGTGTGCTGAAGGAGACCGACCTTCAGATGTCGCGGCGTGCTATCGCAAGCTGCAGCTTGACGCAGAAGGCATGCCGAATACAAACCGAGACACGCACACACATGGCAGAGGGCGAGTGAATAGAAAAGCAGGCATTGCAAGAAGAGGCGGCGGCAAGGCACCCACAGAGAAGACGACAAGGCACGCGCGGGTGTGTAAGGCGGAAGAAGAGAGCCGAGCAAAGGCAAAAATACGGTGGCCGTTGGGGGGTGTATAGCAGCACAGTGATATAGGTTTACTTTTCTTTAAGAAAGAGTCAGCAAGAGAATTGTGGTTTATTTCATTGTTTTTTTTTTNTTTTTTTTTTTTTGCTGTTCTCGTCTTCGCTTCATTTACTCTTCGCCCTCTAATCACAAAACGAAAAAAACAACTCTCTTTATTGTCCCTCGCAATGCACTCGGGCAGAGACACACCCACACGCACATGCATCTAAATAGTGTTCCCTGTGCGGGTGTGCGGGGCCCCACCCCACTTGACGACGCGATGCAGCAGCAACGGAAGGCACAGACACAGACACACACACACACACACACTCACATGCACGCGCCTTCCACTCCCACTCCATTCATTCATTCATTCATTCGCTTCGTATGCACTCATAGAGCCCATTGTTTCTCCCACACATTCGTGGTGGGCACTCCCCCACAAAAAAAAAAATTCACTCCATTCTGCGCCTCGGTCTCCGCCTGTTCCGCTCCACACTGTCGCTCTCATAGGCGTCCTCCGTGTCGCTAAACCGCGTTGCCCGCTCTACCACTGCTTTGGCGAAGGCTGCGATACTGCTTAGATAGCCGCCGCGCTTTCGCCGCCGCACGTACTTCTCATCCTCGCCTGCATCAAAGGCGTTGACATGATAGCTTGATGTTCGGTCATCATCATCATCATCATCATCATCATCATTTTCACCACTGCTGTCGGGGGTAGATGCTGCACGGTCACTTCCACTGTGGTCACAGTGGTCCACATCGTAGGGGGAAAGTGGAGCGGCACTTCGCCATTCCCCTGTCTTCTCCCCCGGTGAGTTACTGTTGCTCTTTCTGGCGATTGTAGCGCTGGGTGGGGACGGCTCCACCCGAGGATATCCAACAGCGTTGCGAGCCCCAGCATCATCATTGCAATTGCTGTCATTCTGTTCGGTTGCGGTACCACCGCCATCACCACCAGCAGCAGCAGCAGTAGCAGCGGTGGGGGTGATAGTCAGCTGCAAATTTGAAGGCGGTAGCGTCGTGGTGCTCCTCGCCACGACGGCGTCCTGCGGGGCCAACGCCTGGCGCCACTCATCCAGCGATCCTGGCGTCGCAACAGAGGGGCGGTGCGACGACAGCGCACTGCCAGTGTCACCGTGAAAAGAAAGGCACGGCGAAGCCCGACCCGATGTTGCCGCACTGACGCACCCCTTCACCAGGCTTTGCTGCAGCATCTCCATTGTGGTCATGGCGCGCTGCCGAAGTTGGCCAATGTGCCCCAGCCAACTCCGCAGTTCTTCCAGCTCGGCATCGATTTGCTTCCGCCGTCCTGCATGATCCTCTGCTGTAGGGTCGTAGTTGTCCATAGTTGCGAGGAGTTTTTCAATCGCCTCCACCTCTTCGATGCGGCTCGTGCCAAGGCGAGTAATACGGCTGCGCATCGTTTCCACACGACCCAGTGTGTCGTCGCACAGCTGCAGCAGCCCTGTGATAATGCGACTGTCATCAATGGGCTCTTCGTCTGTGTTGCCGGGTATATCTTCGGCGTCCTGTGGATTCCTGGCCAACTTACTTACGAGTTTTTTTATCACGGTCGCCACAGAGGCGTCCCACTGCTCTCGCACGCGCATCACGCATTCATCCAGAGTGGCTTGGAACTGTGAGATTGGCGCCATCGCACACCCTGCCGCCGCATCAGAGGAATGATAATATTGCTGCTGCTGTTGCTGCTGGTTACAGTTGTGTTGCTGCTGCCCTTCGTCAAGGTGTTCGAACAGCCGCGCCCGACGCCGCTGAAGATCCTGGAACGTCCGTGTGAAGGCCTCCACTTGCTGCAGCAGCCGCCTGCACTCGGCAAGGTCCGCGTCCACCTTTGCCCGTCCTCGCTGCATGTGTGCGGAGGCGAAACTCGACCCAGCCGGCCCCTGCGACGGCGGAGAGCAGAAGCTATCCGTCATGCAGTTGGGCAACGATGTCGCAAGCCCGCTCACTGCCGCACTGATGGAGCCACGAAGGTGAACAAACTGCTGCATGCATGCCTCCCCCTCTTCGAGATACTGCTTGACGCGCAGACGTGCTTGTGTGTAGTGTGTCACCGCCTCCATCAGGCAAGATATTGCCGTCTTCTCCTCTGGGCGAACATGCGATGCACCCATGTACAGACTCAGTGCGTTGAAGCAACCCTGGAGCGTGGCGTTTGGCGCGGCGAGTGACGCTAAAGCAACGGCCTCTGTGCTTTCCATGCCCGTCGCGGTGCCGTCGGCATGGCGGCCTTGCGGGTTGGGTTCTCCCACCGCATCCACCGTCGCCGCCATCACGCGTGGACGCCCCTCATGTACTGCCAAGCCTCCCCCTCCCACAGCAGCAGCAGCAGCGGTATCCCCGCCAAGAGCAAAGAACGGCGAGTGTCCCGGCACGCTCCCGCCAATATATTCATTAGGGAGCGAGGCGTGATACCTAATGGACGAGGATGACGCGAGCGGCTTCTGCTCAGCCATCCACGACGAGCCAAATGTCGGAGCGCCGAACATCCAGAATATAATTCACAGCACGAAAACGAAAAAACAACAGCAACAATGCAAACAACAGCAACAACAACAGCCTCACCTCTGGTGTTTGTTGTGTGAATGCGAGTAGCTCACCCTGGAAAGGCGTGTCCTACGCAAACGCAGTAAATACAGCCACGGAAAAGGCAAAGAGAAAAAGAAGGAAAGAAAGAAAGGAAATAAAAAGAGAGAAGGCGGGGCACATGGCTATAAGGAACAAGAAGAGAATAAGCAAGAGCGTCTTCGCCACTCACACCAGCCACTTGTCAGCCACACAACTTTCCCACCCCCACCCTGCCTGCCCCTCTATGCTCCCAATGTCACCGGCACATCGTCGGTGTTGGTTGCCACGCTCTCTCGTCGGAGGTACACATCTGAGTGGTACGACCGCTTCCGGTGCGCCCACAGTTGCTGTGCCGCCCCACTGGTGCCTGCGTCGTGCCGCAGCGCATCCTCTGTGGGAGATGCATTCGGAACGTCGTGTTTCTCCTCCACCACGACATGGGAGGATGAGGGAGAGTTTACAAGGGACACGTTGGGAGTCATCACGGCGGCACTGCCCACGCTGGTGCCCCCGTAAAGCTCCTCACCCACCCCTGCACGACCAGGAGAAGCAAGACCATCAGCAGGCGTGTCTACTTCCTTTCCTGCTGCTGGCACCACATCACCCAACAAATCAGATGGATCTCCCTCTCCGAGGGCACGTTTGTAAATGGCATGCATGCGCTGCAGCTCCTTTAGCGCCTCTTGCCGGTACTGCGTTGCACGCGCCCGCTCTTTCTTCGCCTCCTCCTTCCAGTGTGTCACCTGTTTTTCGAGGTCAACGATACGTCTGTCGACAATATGTCTATTGGTATCAGCATCGCCGTCGTTGTCGTCGTCCATGTTGACGTGGATGCTGATGTTGTCGTGCGCTGCGGGTGGAAGACTCCCACGTACTGCCGATACAGCCTGCAGCTCCTTTTCGCGGTGCAGCAGTGCGAGCTCTTCCAGAGTGTGGCGTATGTGCTCCTTCCACCGGCGCCGCTCTGACTGCGCAAGGGTTGCCTCATAGGTCTCGCTCGTCGAACGCCCCTGCAGCCCTGCTTCCACCTCCCCTGTGCCGTGTTGCTGCTGTCGGCTCTGCTTCTCCAGTCGATCTAGATGTACTTGGAACTGCGCCTTGACAGATTTCTCCACCTCCATAATAGACTGGAGAACCTGCTCCTTCGACTGCACCATCGCGACGGGGTCACTGCTGCTGGTGCGGCAAAAACGTTGTCGTGTGCGGCGTTCAGACCCCTCAAGAAGCGCAAGCCGAAGCAAATCGTTGTCCCTCTCCAACTCAATGATGTAGCGGAGCAGTCTCTCGGTTTGGTAGCCTTGTTGTAATTGCATTACCTCCGTTGCAACGCCCTGGAAGCGCGGAGACGGCCATAACGGGGATCTCTGGCGGAAACTAAACAGTGACGATGCATCTGTCCCGTGGGGAAGCAGCCACGTGTCCCCTACGCCACTACTACGTGCGACGAGCGACGTTTTTTCCCCGTTGAGTCGCTCGCCGTCCAGCGAAGCAACACTGTGATTACCACTGCCCTCATGTGTGGGCGGAATGGCAATATGGTCCTCTTGTTCGGCTGCCAACGCACTCCTCCTGTTACCATGGAGCAGGGGAGGAGAGTCCACTGCTACCACACCGCTGGCCGGTGGTGTTGCATCGTTCCTCATTGGCGACTGTTGCCTCTGCTGTTGTTTTTTCCACC